TTTGATTAATTATGGATGTATTATTATTTATATTTGAACAATCACTTGTAAATGTTCAAATATGAATTGTTCATAAAAAAATGTTGTCAAATTTTAAAATCCCAGTTGTTCAATTTTTAAACAACTTGTTCTTTCAAAATTGACAGGTTATTCAATATTACACACAATAACACACACACACACACACATAATTTTTTAAGCATGAAAACATGGTTATTTATAGTCAGACAATCACTTGTAAATATTCAAACACAACTTGTTTATACATAAAAAAATGTTGTCAAATTTTAAAATCCCAATTGTTCAATTTTTAAATAACTTGTTCTTTCAAAATTAATAGGGTATCAATATTATACTAAATAATATACATACATACTAAAATGTTCTCACTCCACTAAATACGCTTAACAAATAAAGCTCAAGGTAATCGAGAGATTACCTCCAAAAGTAATTACCAAAGTTTAATTCAAAAGGAAAGAATCCCAAGTTTTTTAAATAGAAACGGGTTAAAATCAATTAAAATCTTTCATATTACAGTAAAAATAAGTTTCAAAAGCATGAGATACCTTAGAAAAGTGAAAGAAATCAAAAACAGTTGAAAACAAAATATGTGCTGTAATATAGAGCAACGCGTTGCGGCTCATGCATAATGTGTCGTTGCATGTTGCTCTCTGTGCCACGCACTGCGGCTCAAGCACCATGCGGCGCGACATATTGCACGAAATTTTTGCTGATTCTGCTGTCATTTGATAGCAGAATTAGGGGAACTTCCAACTTGCCCCGTTTTTTCGTTCGACGTCCGAATGATGTGATATAAGTGTCTACGGAAAGCTCTTTACCTGAACTAGCTAATGGCATTGGTTTCACTTTCAAAACAAGTCACACTAAAAAGTTAGACACTTAAATATATTTTAATAACTTTTCAACACTTTTACACGTAATGGGTGTCCAAAACTCTCAACAAGTGCCAAATACTTTTTCAAACACCTGGACCATATTCAATAAACTTAGGACTACTAGTACAACACGTCACAAGCACTGAAAACATCATTATAATTATTAAGCCTCTCTGACCACACACCATTTCAATTTACTTAATTATCCTAATTATGTTTAATTAATCAGGGAATTAAAACTCAAGATGTTACACATACATACATACATACATATGTTATAATTTTTTTAAGCATTTTCATGGGTTTTGATTAATCATGGACACATGGTTATTCATATTCAGACAATCACTTGTAAATATTCAACTTGTTCATACATAAAAAATGTTGTCAAATTTTAAAATCCCTATTGTTCAATTTTTAAATAACTTGTTCTTTCCAAATTGACAGGTTATCAATATTATATTAAATAGCACGCATGCACGCACGCACGTGTTATAATTTTTTTTAAGCATTTTCATGGGTTTTGATTAATCATGAACACATGGTTATTCATATCCAGATAATGACTTGTAAATATTCGAACATAACTCATTCATACATAACAAAAGTTGTTAAATTTTAAACTCTCAATTGTTCAATTTTTAAACAACTTGTTCTTTCAAAATTGAAGGGTTATTAATATTATGCTAAATAATATACATACATACATAGATGTGATAATTTTTTTTTAGCATTTTCATGGGTTTTGATTAATCATGGACACGTGGTTGTTCATATCTAGACATTCACTTGTAAATATTTAAATATAACTTGTTCATACATAAAAAATATTGTCAAATTTTAAAACCAACTTGTTCAATTTTTGTAACAACTTGTTCTTTCAAAATTGATAGGTTATCAATGTTATGCTAAATAATATATATACATATATATTATAAATTTATTTTTTAAGTATTTTCATGGGTTTTGGTTAATTATGGACGTATTGTTCATATCCAAACAATAATTTGTGTGTGTATATATATGACCATTTTTTTAACATATGAACAATTCATGATTAAATATTTATAAGTAATTTTTCGGATATGAATAACAATACGTTCATAATTAACCAAAACTCAGGAAAATACTTGAAAAATAATTTATAGTATATTTTTATTTAGTATAATATTAATAACATTTCAATATTGAAGGAATAAGTTGTTAAATTTTTTTTTTTGTTGAAAAAGTTGGTTTTAAGAAATGGGTAAAAGTGTATTTTTACTCTTAAACTATTTTTTAAAGAACACCTGATATCTTAAACTATTTGCTATAGCATTTTTGTCCATAAAATAATTAAAATGTAATATTTTTTACCTTGACATTAAATACCTACCAACGTCAAGGTAAAAAATGCTACATTATGATTGCTTCAAGGACAAAAATGCTACAACAAATAATTTAGAATATTACATATTTCTCAAAAGATAGTTCAAGGATAAAAATGTAAATATTAAAAAACAAACAAACAAACTCTATTCCAGATAATTAATTACCTTGTATTTCCTCTCAAAGAATAAGACTCTGAATTCAGATATTAAAAAACAAACAAACAAACTCTATTCCAGATCTCCTTTTGATTGTGCAAATTTCTTTTAAGAAAACCAATGTTATTGTTGGCTTATGGCTAGAGCTTGCTCATATAACATTCCTGCTCAAAGCGTTAAAAGAAATTTTCCATGTTTAACAATTACCAGGATTTGCAGGCTCCTCGTAAATGTTATGTTCATCGCCCAACAAAAAATTCTGCTGATTACTTGATGATAAAGATAAAAAAGCCTAGATAATATTTTGAATGCCATTAATAAGGGTGTGAGTTTCTCTCTACTACTTCTTCATTGTAAATTTAAACTGTTTAAATTAAAGTTATATTTTTAAAAATTATTAAATCTAAATTATTAAATTTAATTTAATGGTCAAGAGCTACAGTGATTCATTATCTACTCTCTTTTGCAGAGAAGGAAAGCCAACTCCATTGACAAGTCCAAATTATTGAGAAAAATATTATAAAAAGAAGGAACTACTTTGGCAAAAGAACTTATAAACTGAATTGAAAATTTTTATTTATAAACTGAACCAGACTATGGTCCAGCCGGATTAGGGTGTAGAACTGAATAAAAGTGAGCCAATCAAGAACTAGTAAAAACTAACCAAAAAGTTCATAATAACCCAAAACTATGTTATTTTGTGTTTTTTATTTTTATTATGGTTAGTTTTTCTTTATGCTTGGTTTGGATAGAGAAAAAAGCACAAACAAAATTTAAAAAAATTCAGAAAAAGTAAACTTTTTTATTATTTATAAAAGTTTTCCCTCATAGTTTTACTGTTGCATTATTTTTCTCTAAAGGATTAGTGTTATATATATATATATATATATAAAGATGAGTTAAGGTGTATTTTTATCTTTTAACTTTTTTCAAGGAATGCTGAGCACCTTATACTAATAAGTGGAGCAATTTTAACTTTGAACTATTTTTTTGAGGAACAAAAAAAAACCTCTTTTGTTAGTTAGCCGTTAATTTTTTCATTTTTTGTTGATATGGTATGTATGTGAGGCCCATGCACAGTGACAAGTAGGAATCTGACCATATCCTATAGTATTAATTTGTCCTTAAACTCTTTTTTTAGGAGTGTTGAGCACTTTAAATTTTTTTAGGAGCATTACGCATCCTGAAATCTTGTTAAAATAAAATTTAATAAATATTATCAAAATATTAAATATTTTAATATTTAATAATTTTAATGTTATTATTTATAAATATTCATTCAAAATTTATAAATTATTTTTTAAATATTAACAATTTAAACTAATTTTTCTTAAATTTATAGATGACTTATAATATTTTTATATATTGATTATATTTTTAATATTGATTGAATTATTTAAATTTCTTAGGTCATTCTCAATCGTTTTTTTAATTAATAAGTAGTCTTCTTTTAAAATATTACACCATCCAATTTAAAACTTTCATATTTTTATATTTTATAATTTTGTATTAAAAACGAAGGGAATGAACCTCCAAATTAATGGAAGGATTTTTTCTCCTCATCTTTCCATTATTCTCTTATTAAGTAACATTTTTTTAGCATATTAATGAGATAGGCAATATCTTTCAAATAAATATTTTTGTTAGCATATTATTGATCTTGATTTGTCATATATGTTTTTGATTTTACAACTAACACTATAGTGTATAGAGAGTATTAAATTTGGATGGTATAATATTTTGGAGAAAGATTATTAGTTAATTAAAAAATTATAAAGAAGGACCTAAAAATTTAAAAAACTTAACCAATATTAAAAAAATATAAGTAAGTTCCTACCCATACGAAAGGCATAATGATAACGATATGGGTACTGCTTTAGAGAATATTTATAAAGTATTTATAAAATATTTAAAAAATAATTTGTAAATTTTGGATGAATATTTATAAATAATAATATTTAAATTATTAAATATGAAAATATTTAACATTTTAAAAATATTTATTAAATTTTATTTTAACAAGATTTTAACCTAGCACCCCTAAAAAAAACTTTAGGGTATCTAGCTCTTCAAAAAAGAGAGTTCAGAGGCAAATTAATATCAAAAGACATGGTTAGAATCTTATCTTAGGCCCCACATACATGCTACATTAGCAAAAAATGACAAAATTAATGACTGATTAATAGAAGGGTTTCTTGCTCCTTAAAAAAATAGTTTAAAAAAAAATTACCTTACTTTTCAATATAAGGATTTATGGGTTATTCTAATTTCTATTTGCTTGGGTGAACAATTAATGTAGCATATTTGATGATGTTAGTTATTTGTAATGGACAATAAATAATTTTAGTATAAATTTGACATGCACGATAAAGTTAATGTTAAATATTATCTAAAATATTTTATTTTTATATATAATCTTTAAATTTTATAATTTTAATTAAAATCGATTAAACCATGATTTGAATATGATCAATTAAACTAGACCTCTAACTGGTTCAATTCCCCGTATGATCCCAACAATAAATCATTAATTTATTTATTAACTTAAAATATTTAGGAAAGTTAAAATGACTTGTGATTGTGAACAGTGTTAGGGTTACATTTTATTATAAGATAAACAGAAGATCCCTAAACAGCAGAAAGCCACAGGGGCCACTAGCAAATTACAACATTTTCTGCCACTTCTTTCCCCAAACAAGCCAATATTTCCGGAGCATGAAGTATGGAAGCAAATCCAGAATAACGAAGAAAGAATGTCAAATATAACCCGTTGAGCAATCCCAGGATTCACTTGTGCATCCTATCTGAAAATTGACAAACGAAGATTGAGTTATGGATATGTACTATAATAGAGAAGACTGAAATATAAGAAAAAATAAATTCCTTTAGGTCATGTTTGCTTACTAAAATAAGATGGAATTAATTGAATTGAAAAAATAAAGATAAAAATAAGATGATCAAAGGAGATAAGTAAGGAAGAGAGATAATTTAGTACATGAAGTTAGAAGTTATGATTCGTGAGATTTTTGGATGATGTAATGATTTTCACATTTGTAGTATATATTAATGAGTTTTACCATACTTATCATGAGAAAAGAGTAATTTAGTCCATTTTTGTCTTGATTTTATTAATCCATTCTATTTCATTCCTTTCTAGTAATCAAATGGGAGCTTACAGTTTAAACATGACCCTCAATTTAGTAAAACTTTGTTTACTGTCAGAAATCATGAGCGTGCTTTTCACCCAAAAAAAAAAAAACAAAAGAAAAGAAAAGAAAAGAAAAAGGTTAAAAAAAAAAAGAAATCATGATAGTGCTACGTTAACAAGTGAATAGGCTTGATAAACCACACTTGGTTAATGAAGGCCATATTCATTTTCACTTATTTTGACACACTGCAATTTCTGAAGTGTTAGAATCCAAATTATTATTAAAAAAAAAAAACATCACATTGTGTGATTGTGTCAAAGAAGGAAGTCATTGATCATGAAGCAATTGTATTCCTACTTATAGATTGTATCATTTAATCAAGATTCATGATAATCCTTACTCGTAAAATGGCAGGAATCAAGCTCTTCCTGCTGAACCAAACAGATGCATCTTCTCTGCAACCACAGCCTTCATGGCTTCCTTTGCAGATGCCATAACATGGACAAGATCTTTATGGGGAGTGCTCAGGGAGTCCATGTATGCCTTTCTCACTTCAGTGTTCACGTTGAACTTCCTCACGCCAAGCTCTATGCATTTCTGTGAGAATTCAATAAGCTCGTGATGTTAGCTATATAAACTGCAAAACTTACTTGAGCTCAACGCAGCTATATTTTTGTGGACAAGAACTGCAACATAAAAAAATTTTCCTGAAGAAAGGTTGAGAATGAAGTATTGCAACTGTACCTTGACCAGTCCTTGGGACAAGCCGGAGGCACCGTGGAGAACAAGAAAAACTCCTTTCTTCAGGCTTAGAGCATGCAATTGCTTGACATTGTTGAGTGTCAGAATAACGGAGCAGAAAAGAACCAAAATCAAATGCCATGTTGAACAAAACAGGTACAAATGTTAAGAGTAATTTTTAAGAACATTTCAAACAATCCTGCCTGTTTCCATTCAAGTTATGAGGTATGAAGCACATAGTTGTGCTCTTTTAAATTTTAAATTTATTCATTTAAACTTATGCTGTGGAACCAACAACGTCGTCTTACCTCACTGTTTCATCTAACTAAATGGGATCAGTCAAAGGAATCACACAATCCCATGTATTTTAAATTTATTTATCTAAACTTATGCTGCAAATTGAATTTATTCATTGCTTGAAAGTTCAGCTATGGCTTCTACCTTATGCCTATTTATATACAGTTTAACAAATTGAATTTGCAATGCTAACTTTATGTAAAGTTGGAATGAAAAAAAGCTCATCACCTTGAGCAAATCAAATCTGAGATTTGGACCGCTTGCAGGATACTTTCCATGTACATTTCCAATACATACAGCCAAAGCATCTATGCCAGTCTCCTCAATGAATTTTTGTGCCTGATATGAAGGATAGCAGGTGCAGTGAATTTGGTAACATCAAGGAAATAAGAAAGGAAATTTCTATCATAAAGTAGATAGCAACCTTATCAGCATCTGTAAGTTTGGCTTCATATTCTTCAACGGTCAAATCATCTTCTGACCCTGATAATCTTCCTAGCTCAGCTTCAACCAAAAGATCTTTTGAGTGGGCCAAGAATGATATAAATTTAGTATATGCTACATTTTCATCGAAGGAAAGATGTGACCCATCTACCATTACAGAGTCGAATCCCTGCACGTTGCATTCACAAATGGAGTTCAACTTTAAGAGCAAAATGAAGATAATAAAGTGAAATTTCTAACTATCGATTCATGATAAATCATCAGTAGTAAAATGAGATGTTAAAAGAAGAATAATTACCAGCTCAAGAGCTTCCACAAGATCTTGCCTTGAAGTTCCATGATCAAAGTGCACAGTAATGGGAACCTGACAGATATATAAAAGTAAATTTAGTAACTACTCAAACTTACACTTGTCTGAACTTGTATATGCCATTCAATTCTTCTTCACCCAATTGTATTTGAATTTATCAATATCATAGAAAATGAACGTTTAACAATAAATTTGGTTCTGGCAAAATAATTAAATTTGGTTCAATAGTTAGTAAATAAATTTACCCATTGTCACTCGATGCTTAATCTGATCCCAATAGTTAGTAAAAGGTTTCCTAAAGGTTAAAAGTTTTTAAGTTGGTCCCTATCATCAAACAATCACCAGAATCCAGAATGATTAAATTTTGTTGACGCAGTCAACTGTTCGTCATCTTAACATTCTGAATAAGCATCATCTATGTCAATAAAACGACTTTAGGTAGATGGAGCGAAATTCAATCACTAGCATGGTAAACGATGTCACCTAGATTAAGTGGCTAGGGTGAGCATGGTGGCACATAATTTGCGATGCAATCAAAGTTGATGGCATACTAGAAGATTTACGGAGGTGGACCACATAAAAAATTTTCAAACTGTTGAGGTCAAAATGAATACTTATGAAGTTCAGGAACCAAATCAAGAATAGAAGAGAATAGCTGCCTTCAATTTACCTTCGTTTGTTTTAAGATATGCCACTAGTTTCCTTTACTTCAGCAACCTCACTAATGGCAATAACAATATTTTTCAAATGCTACGAAGAACTTCTCATTTCTTTTCTTTATATGTTTCTATTTGTTTTGAATAATGGAATGCCACTTACACTTGCTTGCTCAGCAGCAGCAATGCAACCAGAAACCAAAGGAAGTCCTCCTTGCTTCAAGGCACCGGGATGGATCTGAAAGTTATTTTATTCAGTGCTAGTTCAGAGAGCATCCAAGTTTTTGTGATGAGTGATAAGAAACTAAAATAATTTCAAAAATATCAAAAGTAAGAAAAGTTACTAGAGATGCACTTACTATAAGAAGTGAGAACAAAGATAAACACATAGAAAACAACCATCACTGAATTTGCAAGAAGCTTAGCAACTTTAAACATATTCTTACTTAACTCTAATGGTCAAAATAAGAAAAGGGGACACGCTAATCATATTTTAAAATGAGGAGCTCCCAACCTGTAATATAGCAGGACTTTGTTCTTCCTCTGCTGCAGAGATAACAGCCTGAACTCCTTCCAAATTGTAAACGTTAAATGCTCCAACAGCATATCCACCATTTTCCGCATTCTAAACTCCCAGCAAAAAAAAAAATTTAGAACCTACCAACATGCAAGGAGATTAAGTTCCAAAGCTTGAATAAGGTGGTCCTTACTATAAGAAGTTCTTTTGTTGAAGAAAGTTTGATTGGACGAGTCCAAGACTTCACAACTTCTGCCAATGCTCTGCTGTCGCCAACATTACCTACAATAGACAGAATATCATTGGTAATTAAAGAAATGAAATACAATATTTAGAAGCATTATATACTAAAATTTAGTTTGGAAACTGTAAGCCTGAAATAGAAAGAAAAGTCAATACTCAATTACCAGGGAAAACAATGTATGGGACTCCAGGATGTCTACTTTCAGGTCCTAATTGCCATAAGGGAATTCCAGCAAGTGCTTGCCCAACTATCTTGGCACATCTTGCACCAAGGGCTTTTGTAGCCAGGTCCGAAGAAGTGATCCCTCCCTAGAAAAGGTACCATGATTAGTGTTTAGATGGGAATTTTGGCATAGTTTTTAAAGTCCCAGACACACTTTCAGATTTAATGCCAAACAGAATACATGATTGTATTATTGTGACTTGTACGGAGACAAATAGGAGAAGGTTAAATAATGAGCAAGTTCTAAATGTTATCTTTTATCTGTATAAAGAATATTGAAAAACAGTAATATTATCAAAGGAATAAGAACATGTTTTCCTTCATTTTTATGCTGCCAGATATCAACTTGTGCTTGACTACCAATAGACTTGTACTACTAAACCTCAATGCTCAATTCTCTGGGAAATCAAACATCTGATGGGCATTACCAACAAGAAGATAACATTGTTGCTAACAGCTAAGGGAAGATCAGCCCAATAAAAAGACCACTTATGCCACTCAATGCTGACTGTATTTCCATACAAAGTAGGGCCTACTTTTCAAATAGGTGAAAGGATGATAAGACAAAGGAAATGTCATGTCTTCTATATCAAAATGCCAGTGTAATAAGTGATTTAAACATAGAGTACCTTTGCAAGTATATACCGAGGTTTGGCAGTAATCCGTTTCACTATTTCCACCAAAGCAGAACTCACTTTAAAATTGATTGCCAAACTCTCGGAGGCAGCTGCAAATTATGAAAGAGATCAAGAAGTTTAGATAACAAAACCTAAAACTTTTCAATAATGCATATCCTGTTCTATCAAAGAAGGGGAACAAAGCTAAGCTACTGTTTGTTGACATTACCATAAATACTATCTGACTATTAGCTAAGGAAGATATGAATACAAAAAAGACCAAGAAAAACAGACAAAGACTGACTTTTTCCAGTTATAAGGTTCCGACTGGTCATTATAAGAGTGTCTTTTTGAGCCTTCAGATATACATCTGCCAATTCAGCTGTTTTATTGATTTCCTCCTCCCTGTCTTCAGTAGAGCTCATGGCAAGTTTTTCGACTGATACCTATTACAAAGAAGCTTTTCTCACATACTTACAAATTACAACAGTAAATATAATTTTGAGAAAAAAATTTATTTGCACAAGGCATACTAATTCCTTAACAGATATCTTGATTCTCAATCATGACAGATCCGCAGCTAACAATTAGTGATAAATTTAGGATCCAGATCACCTCAATGCTTCTTAAGAACTGACCGCAGCGTAGTTTAAGCTCTTCTACCTGGTGATTACAAGAAATGATGAAAATGAGCAAAAGAACATTCTAGGGAGATTAAATTCAATAATTCTTCCCATATTTGCTTTGTTGACCTGTTTTGTTGTTTTTGGAACATAAGAACCCACAACTATCAAACCACCATTCCTTTCTCCACTTATCCCTAGATCCCTAGGCAGTATTGGAGCCTTAGGGATGATTCCAATGTGTGCAGAAACAAAACTAGCAGCAGTGCGACACAAGAAGCGTTTTCCCATCAATTCTGCCTGTTAAGAAGAAAATATGTTTCAATAAAAACATGTATATTTGTAGAAAAATTCTGAAAAAGAATGATAGATATGAACTTTTGCCTTGATCATTCCCAGTGCAAAAACAGCCATGTCTCTTTCACTAGCGGCATTAACAATACATGTTGATCCCTGCACCATACAATAGACAAGTGCATAGAAAGTATAGTCAATAATTCATCCTAAATCACCAGGAGTAAATAGAACTATCCTTTCTATTCTTACTTTAGTGTTGAAAGTCATTTGTGCAAGTGAAGACGTGCCAAGCATTATGAAGAAATGCTGTTGGGAACCAAAACCAAAATGATAGATATCCGACACTGGTTTTATATTCAATATTGAAATACTCTCCTCTTCAGTGATAAGAAAAAGACTTACAACATAAATAAGCTGACACACAGGAAATAAACTTCTGAAAATGACAGGAATGCGGAGTCTCACACACAAAGCTCACTAACAATAAAAACACACTAAAACACAGAAAAGACAATGATGAAGAAAGAATCCTTCCTCCACCCCAGCATGGTGTTTAAGAGACCAGGCCCTCTCCCTCACAAAACCAAAATATTCCTACCTCCAGACCCCCTTAATAAACCTCTCCAATCGCACAAACACACTCACAGCCAAAGTGACACTCACAGCTCCTAACTCTCTTTCTCCTCTCTGTGGCCAGCTCATTGCACTCCCTTGTCTTTATTCTCTTGCGCTTTAAAAATCTAGGCCTCAAGGCCACTGGTTCATCAAATCTTTATTTTAACTTTGTTTAATAATTTGTGTCAATTTTTGTCCCTGTTTTTGTGACACAGATTAGGTAAGAGTAGTTCTCTTTTTGACAATCTTGGGATTGACTGAAATTAAGAGGCTGATTTGAAGCTTTCCTAATTCAATCAATTCACCTATTTATATCAACTTCTTTTGAATTGGAAAATTATATAAAACAGAGAGGCACTCTCTCTGGTTTACTACGTTTAGTTAGTGCATTCAAAAACTATAGTTCATTAATAACAAGGTATCCGTAATTTTCAATACCTTCTGCAACTTGCATAGACACTCACAAACTGCATCTGGTCCTCCTTTCCTCAGAAGTTGAATAGAGATAGATATAACGGTAAATGCTGGTATTCGTCCAACTGTTTTCTCCTCTACCCACTACACCCAAGTAACTTTTCAGCAATAATATGAAAAGAAAATAACCAAGAATCAAGTAAAAAAGGTAACAATATATTACCTCACGGAGGTTTGAAGATTTATAGCCAAAGGCAGCATCCTTGGCAAACTCTGTTTCCCCTGCAGGTACAAGCCTGCAGATAAAAAGTTGAGAAGGCATAGCTATATCTTAAAATAAAATCAACATCTCTCATTACTGAATAGTAAATGGCAACACATACATATCGGCATCTGCAACATAATGAATGTCTTCGATAGTATAACGGCCTCCTTGAAGGAAAAAGGGACAAATGATCCATGCATCCAGTTCACCTAACACGGAAACAACAGCATCCGCTTCCTGCAATCAAGACCAAACAGTCTCAGTTTGCTCTTCAATTTGAAACATATGACATCTATAGCATTTATTACAGCTTTCTTATTGAGCTTAAACTTACATCTGGAAAATGACCTCGCAAAGTTGAATCTCCCCTCAAAACCACTGTGTAATCAGTGTTCTGAACAGATTTTGCTGCACTATCTAGATTTCGGCATATATCTTTTATCAATGCACAAGCCTGTCAAGGATAAAAAAAATACTAGAGAACTTGATAGAAGTCGATATCCAAGAAAATTAAAGATGTCCAAGAAAAAAATGAACTCAAGTTGACCAAATCATTTAAGAAATCAGGTTCCCTGATGGGGCCAGGTTACTTTTGAGTGCCTTCGTGGTCAGCACTAACCAACATTTTAATTGCTGTAAATATAACTTTTCCAAATGTTTTTGCAGTCTAGCATGTCATATAAGAACATTAGCCCTGCACACTTAAATAATCAGGGATAATAATTATCCATTTATCCCTGCCCTGGATTCCCCACATACAGGTGCAGATTGGATAAATTTCTCCTGGTGGGGACAGCAGTAAGGGTAAATTCCAAAAATTCAAACACCTTGTGAGGGAGTTTCTGCCTATATTTATGTTAACATGAGTAACTTTACACAGGATTTGTACTGTAAAATTTTATTCAAGTTCAGCTCTTACCTTCTCCCAACTCAGTGACCTTGAATTTGTCAAAATGAAAAAGCATTTGGGACTTTTTCTAAACTGCTCAATCAGTGACTCAATGCTCCTGCAAAGAAAGATGAACAATTGAGTAGTTTGAGATTTGTCTTTTGGTAAAAGATATTCCTATCAAATTGTCAGTTCAATCTCAGACAGAAAGTAATATTCAATGATGAGTGACTAGATAATAGTACCAATTAATTGCCATTGTGATTGGTATTGTAAGAGATAATATTAAGAGTAGCATCGACTCTGTCAATTAATTATATATGATGAAAGACAGACAACAAAGACACTTACCATTCTGTCAGTACTTCAATATCATGTACAGTTTGTGTTCCTGTAGGATCATCATCCAGAACAACCAAAGTCTTTGAATTGCTTTCATTTAGCTTTTGTATATCAAGAAGAGGATCATGTGGCCATTCAGAAGGAAGAGATTGCAGAACAGCTTCCTTTTTAAGCGCAGAAAGTTTTCCTTCAACTTTAACACCCGTTAAAGTCTCATAAACCTGATAAAAGTCCAGAAAGCCCTAATGAAGTCCAGTGACAAAGTTCCCTGAATTGCTGTGGATTGAGTAAACTTGGATCTCATGCATATATTTTTTGCAGAGAAGATTGGAAATAGGGACAAAATATTATATTGTAATTTCAGGATCATAAGATTCATTGGAAATTAAACTTGAATGAATAGCATAGGAAATTTTCCTTAGCATTCACTATTGTTTCAAGACCAGGAACTAATCTTTGTTCTTGAACAACTAAAGCGTTATAGAGAGAAGGCACTGGAGAGGCAAAACGATAAAGAAAGAAATTGACCACTAAGACCCAAGGATGGAAACAAGAAAATATAAAAAGAAAAATAGAAGAGTTAAAAGACAACTATGGCTTCGAAAACCCAATGAAGAATCTTGCTCTAGAAGATAATAGCTTTCTAAGCAGCTGTAATATATAAGGAAAATGCAGATTAAAATAACATAGTAAGTGTAATATTTAAGTTGACTTCTATCAACCAAATGCAACAGTAAAACCAAATAATTAACATATTGATGAAACTCTAAGAACCCACATAACATATTGACCTCGGGTAAATATGTTTTACCATTACATGCTAGTTGAATTTTCATTAACAATTCAAGCTTCTAGCATTATATTCTTAATTTGGACAATCTCTTACTAATTAAAGTGTCCAATTGACATCCAGTAAAACTCCTGGAAATATCATCATAAGACGTACCATGGTCAATTACAGGAAAACAAAATGGATAATTGAGCAGTAAATATATCAAATGCAGAACTTCTAGTTTTATAACCATAATAAAAAAATAAAGTCCATGGGGATGTTGAGAAGGAAAATCTCAGACTTTGCTATACTGCTAGTTTAATACTTGAAGAACTGAACTTTAGAGTCTTCTCATGACTGACGTAACTTGCTCATACCTTAACTATGCCAGCATCATCTTGCCGACCCCAACCAGCAGCAGAACCTGCAGCATAGCTTCCAAGTTTATGCAAGCATTAAATATGTTTTTTATCAGTAAAGCAGTTTTATTAGGAAAAAGAAGATGACATTTTTTCACTATTCATGCAAAGCTGTAGACTTGGAGAATTGTAAGTTTAAGAAAAAGAGGGGAAAAAAAGGACCACGCGTCACAAAAGACTGAAAGTAATACACAGCACCTGACAAATACAGCTGGTGAGCAGCCGATGATAAATGAAGCGGAACTTTCAAAGAAGATGCTTCACGTGTGACAATGCCCTGTATAGATAAAAAAAATATATATATGTATTATTACTTTGGTATGTTGATGTCCTGTAAAGTGTTACCCACTACAGCTAAATATAGTGCAAGGATGGATTCATTCTATCTCTAACCAGGTCCTTCACAAAGATATTAAGTGCTGAATAGGGTGTGTAATCATTATCTAGCATGTGTGGGACACGATTTTCAAACATCCTGCAATGTCAAACACCACTAATGATTAGCAATGAGGTTTGTATCAAATCCTATATGAACAACAACAATCTAAGGAATCCATAAGCCATATTTCTCATGATATATAAATAGCTAAAATCTATCATATAGAAAATAAAATTTATGTTGATGTGAAAGGAAAAACACTTTTTAGGAGAAATTCTCTCAAATGAGTCCTAGCCTGACTCAAATTTGAATTAGTCTATAACACAAAATCTTATTATATGGTTTGTTTCTGAAAGAAAATCTAGCATTTAGTACCAAAATTGACAAACCAGTTGACATAACACCTTAAGCAGAACAAAAGATTAAACAACAACAACAAGAAGCCTTATCCTACTAGATAGGATTGGCTACATGAATTGCACTACGCCATTATGCTTTATCATTTACAAAGCTTTTAGAAATGTTGTTAACTAAGAAATCTCAGTCAACAACTTTCATAAGTATTCTTTTTGGCTTTCCTCTACCCCTCTTTACAGGGCTCAAAATTATTCATTCCACTCTTCTCACTGATGCCTCTCACGATTTTCTCTATACATGTCCAAGTCATTTCAAATGATTCTTTACCATTTTCTACCACTCTTTGGCTTTCCTCTACCCCTCTTTACAACAAAAGATTAAACATTTTTGGAAAACTACAAGGCATGAAGAAAAAGTTGTTAAGGATTAAATATCTAAAAACTAGAAGCACATTTTATTTTTAGGCCTATTGAAGGTATGAGGGGGGAGGGGAAATAGTTTATGGCAAATAATGACACATACCAGGATGTTCCCCCACTACTTGTGATAAAATCAAACAACAATCTTGTATTTAGACCCAATCGAGCTCCAAATGCCATTGCCTCAGCAGCTGATGCTATATGTACGCCGGCAAGCAATTGGTTGACCATCTTTATACCACTGAAAACAAAATATACTACAATAACTTTATTATATATATCTCCATTTGTACAAATTTCAAATATGCATTTCAATCCTCTAGCACCTCCAATCAGAATTTATGTCCATTGATTGTTTCATGCATATAGAGAGATGTGTTAACTGATAACAATCATTCAGGCAAAGAGATTGACTTGTAAAAATCAAAATTACCTTCCAGAGCCACATCCACCCTTGATAACATAAAGCTTCTCACTTAATGCTGATTACAGAAAACTTGAGTTAAATATTAAGTTATGTCTGAAATTTCTCGCAAGACTATATATTCATTTCTAGGCCAAGCAATCATTACCTGCTAAGACTAATCCAGCACTTGTAAGAGCTTCATCTGTCCCTGAAGCCATTATCTGTGATACATACATGAACTCAATAATTTACTCAACAAAACCTAAGAAGCAATTTTCCCTATAGACAAGGATGTATTTCCCACCGTAAGAGTTCCATTTGAGGCCCTCTTCACACCACCAGAGACAGGGGCATCTACCAACTTCAAATCCTTACCTTCATCTGTGATGTTTTCATTTCAACTTTTACATAACCACATTATAAACAAAGGAACAATAGAACGCTGTGGAAGTAAGAAAAAACAAGGAATGAAATGAAAAGTAGAACTGAAGCTGAGGAAAATACTGTTATGCTTGAGTGTCACAAAAATAAACATGATTGATGTCGCAATTTCACAATAACTACAATTTTTAATTTTTACTCATCCTAGATTATGAGAAATTAATAACTTATATCAAATACATATTGCGTTAACTCCGCCTATGTTTATAGCCGGTCCCAAGCCCGAGTAAAAGAGGAGGGTTGTGTTAGGCCATCAACAGCCAATGTAAAATTTTGTTGAATCTATCATGAACATGGACAATAGACGTTATAATGTTAATGCTAGGTCGTTGTCTGTAAGTAACGCGCTGCATGGCTCGAGTACAGTGATAAGTGAGTTAGAGCCGCTGCATCGGCGCTCGGATGTAGTGTTAAATGAGCAAGGGCTATCACATCATTCTGGATGCACGCAGCTAAAGAAGTTAGTCCATGAGAGCAAAATTAGATTTGGTACTTGGAATGTTGGGACATTGAATTGTAAATCTGTAGAGGTTGTAGGGGTTATGATTCAAAGGAAAATCAATATTCTTTGCCTGCAAGAAACAAAATGGCGTGGAGAAGAAGCTAAGGATATTCAAGGTTTCAAACTTTGGTATACAGGAAAAGTAAGTGCACGCAATGGAGTAGGCATCATTATAGATAAGTGCACGCGGCTAAACAATGAAGGACAAACTCTTTTTGATTTCTCATTGGTGTATGATTTTAAGATTGCCAACACTTATTTCAAGAAGAGAGATGAACATCTCATCACTTACAAAAGTGGAGCCTCAAGGTCACAGATTGATTTTCTTTTGGTTTGGAACACAGATAGAAGACTTTGTAAAAATTGTAAGGTGATTCCCAGAGATGCTGTAACGACACAACATAGGGTCTTAGTTTTTGATGTGTGTATTATGAGTAAAATCCAAAAACGTCGACAAGTAGTAGCACCAAGGATTAGGTGGTGGCAATTAAAAGGTGAGAAGCAAAATATTTTCAAGCGAAATCTTTTGGATAAAGGAATTTAGGAATCTCAGGGAAGTGCTAACATCATATGGGAGGATATGGCTAAAAAGATACGGGAGGTTGCAAAAGTAGTTTTGGGAGAATCGAAAGGTTCTGGTCCGAGAGATAAGGAGTCTTGGTGGTGGAATAATAGTGTACAGGACAAAATCAAGTATAAGAAGAACTGTTTTAAAGCCATACATTTGTGTAACAATGAGGAAAATTGGGAGAGGTACCGTATGGCTAAAAAGGAAACTAAGAGACCTGTGGGTGAAGCTCGTTCTAAAGCTTTTGAAGAATTTTATAAGAGCCTTGAGACGAAGGAAGGAGAGCGAGATATTTATAAGATTGCCAAGAGTAGGGAAAGAAAATCAAGAGATCTAAAACAGGTAAGGTGGATTAAGGATGAAGAGGGAAGAATTTTAGTTACAGATGATGAAATTAAAAATAGATGGGAGACTTACTTTTCTAAACTTTTCAATGATAGAGAAGGTTCATCTAGTAACTTGGAGGATTTAGTAACTGGTGAAGGAGAACAAAATTTGTCATTCTATTGAATAATACGTGATAAGGAGGTAAAGGAAACTCTTAAGAAAATGGCAAATGATAGAGCCAACGAACTTGATTGTATATCTATCGAAGTGTGGAAATATTTAGGTGAAGAAGGGGTGAGATAGTTAACTAAGTTATTTAATGTGATTTTACAGTCCAAGAAAATGCCTGATGAGTGAAGGAGAAGTACATTAATCCCTATTTATAAAAATAAAGGAGATATTCAGAATTGTACTAACTATAGAAATTGGACCACATCAAGGATCATCTCTGAGTTCTTATTTGTTCAACTTGATCTTAAATGTTTTGACGGAACATATTCAAGGGGAAATTCCGAAATGTATGCTCTTCACGGATGATATAATTCTTATAACAGAGACAAGAGAAGAGGTTAATTGCAAACTTGAGTTATGAAGGAGGACATTGGAGTCGAAAGGTTTTCGTTTGAGTAGAAGTAAGACGGAATATTTATATTGTAAATTTAGTAAAGGACTATTCGACAATAATTTAGAAGTAAAATTGGGAGATCAAATTATACCTCAAGCGGAAAAGTTTAGATATTTGGGAGCCATTATTCAAAATGATGGCGAAATCAGTGGAGATATTTCACATAAAATTCAAGCTAGGTGGTTTAATTGGAGAAAAGCTAAAGGAGTTATTTGCGACCATAAGGTGCCTAATAAACTTAAAGGAAAGTTTTATCGCACTGCTATCAGACCAGCAATGTTACATAGTAGTGAATGTTGGGCTCTAACGGGACAGCAAGAGCATAAAGTTGGAGTAGCAGAGATAAGAATGTTACGATGAATGTGCGGACATACACGTAAAGATAAAATTCGAAATGAGCACGTACGCGAAAAAGTGAGGGTGGCACCTATTGAGGAAAAAATGGTAAAAAATCGGTTGAAATGGTTTGGGCATGTACAAAGAAGACCAAGGGAGGCACCAGTGAGAAGAGTGGAACATATAACTTTGAGTCCGATTAAGAGAGGTAGAGGAAGGCCTAAGAGAACACTCTTGAAAGTTGTTGAACGCGATCTCTTAATTAATAATATTCCTAAAAGTTTGATAAATGATAGAGCACAATAACGTCTTGCAATCCATGTAGCCGACCCCACCTAGTGGGATAAAGGCTTGTTGTTGTTGTTTTATCAAATACATATTGCGTTACTGTTACTGTTAGAAGCACCACACTTCTCTTTACAGCCAAAATCTCCCAAGTCCCATCATAAATAAAATAAGGACTACGTAAATTCAAATTGATATTATCATCAATCTCCTCTTTGGGTGTAGTAAATTTTATGTAGGAGATCTAATTTTCTTTTGGAGCTTAATGTCACAACCTCTGTTCAAAAAGAGAAGAAACCATGAGATTACGGTGCTTTTGGAGACATCTAGGATGATGCAGAGATTTCCAGGAGAGTCCAAGACGTTCAAGAAGAATCTACTATATGTTTTAGAAGCATCTAGAAATACCTGGAGAAATCTATAAGTTTCTAGAAGGTTCTAGAAATTTAGAGAGAAATGTAGAGATGTCTAGAATATATTAGGATATTCTAGAACATTCCAAACATATCTTAAAGATTAATCTAAAAATATCTTTGTAAATATCTAAATATCTATTGTAGATATTTTTATAAAACCCTCTAAAGGATGAATGTAAACCATAAGATTAGATTGATCTCCACCGTTCATTAAGGAGGTGGGAATGTTCTGAAAGAACGGGGAGGCTTATAAATACCCCGCCATACCTCTCATTTGAAAGAACAAGCAAGACAAGCCAAATAAACATTTCAATAAGGCTTTCAAGTTCTCTCATCCAAGCTCTCTTCTCTCTTATATTTGAGTTTCCTAGTTCCTTTGCCTGCATACTGGGGGTTCGGCTAATTTAGTAAAGATCAAGAAGTTGATCACACTAAAGTCAGCACGGTTTAAGGATAGAGAAGTTCCAAGGCCGTGACATTAATGTGTCGCACTGAACTTAATGGTCTGCACCGTTAACCTTGAACATAAAGCCATGGAAAGATATAAATACAAGACACAAGTGTAGAAAGACATGTTTACAAAGGAGGAATGTCTGATTTGCAGTAACCGGTGATATAATCTTTATATGTATAAGGCAGGTTACATGAAAGAGAAAGAAAATATACATCAAATATCCTCCTAAATCAAACAAAGTGAAAATAAATCAATAATACAACTTAAAGAAATGCTTAGAACAAGGAAAAAGGACTAACAAAACATTGATAGAATAAGTTTTATTAAATTGACAAGCCTGAAATTATCTTTGCATTGCATATATTCACCCCAAAAAAAAAAAAGAAATCAGTTTGCATAACAAGGACTAGATAAGTATCTCACTGGAAGAGCAACATACAATGCAATCGGTTCTCAAGTTGGCTCACGTATGCAGGAGAAACAGTGGAAGAAAGAATAACACATGCTCCTGATGGAAGGACTGCAGAATTCAGCAAAGGAGGGTCAATACAGTTGGAAGTTTCATAAAATGGGAAACAGAGATGCTTATGTTTACCTGAAACTGCGCCATTTTCTCCATATAAAGCATTCTCTGCTTGAGCTTCATTTGTGACCATGATTATAAGTACATCAACATCTGTAGACAAATAGGACCACACGTGACATGTGCTTGAGATTTTGTGTTTATAAGAATCTCACAATTTTACTTGCATAAAAAATATAGCATTCCAAGCTGACCCATCTAGTAGGATTAGGTTCTTTTTGTTGTTGTTGTAGAATCAAACTATACATGGACTTCACTTAAAAGATTAAGCTTTTGCATTGACACTATCTTCGGCACGGTATCAAGAACCCCATGACAAAGTGGTTAGCTAATTTGTAATATAGCATTACAAGTCTGTTTTTTTAGTTCTTTGCAATGCAGAAAGCTCACAAACCACATTAAGGAATAAGTGCAAATATCAATTTAAATAATTTGTACACTGAAAAAATACAAGAAGACACCCTAGAACATAAAAATGTACAAGATGCTCTTTTACTCCAAAAGAACATTTTTTTTATTCTTGAGGCTGAAAATTTCCAGATATCAAATTAAGTATTGAAATATCCCGGTATCAACTCTCATTGAAACTATACCTATTTTAAACCCACACCAGCCAAGAGAATAGAAAGAGAATGCAGACTGCCACAATGCCCTTACGGCTGAAAAAGACAAATGAAATGACTGGCTGATTCATCAGCCTACTTCCAATTGCAACATCAGCAGTTATGATTGATTATTGAAGCTATCAATAAATTTCCTCATATAATTTGAATTAAGTTTCATATTAGCTGAATGACCAACGTTGGTACCAGCAATCACAAATCAGAAAAAACCTCATCAATTGTTATGATTTACACAACACGTTCATTTAGTCATTCAAATTACTATTACTACAATCATCATCTACATGAAAAAGCAATCAAGAATCTCTCAAACCGAGTCAATCACAAACTTTGCAATTTATTTATGATTTACCAATAGTATTAAACAGCAGTTTGATTCGAAAGAGTAGCAAATGAACGTTCATTGATGATGAAGAGAAGAATTTCCTTCTCTAGTCGATGTGCTATCCTGGGAAGCCATTTCCTAGTACCATAACTGGAATTACAAGCCTTTACATCTCCCACCAGGGAAAGACCTCCCCGCAGAAACAAGTTGCATGTGTTAATGAATATAAATATAGCATTATTGTAGTGTATCATCTTGTATTTGCAGGTCTAGAAGTATGCAACTATTTACCTTTACTCACTTCTGCAGGAGAATTTCCAATTAAACCACCAGCATTTGCAAATCGAGTGAGAGTTGGTTTGTATACCTAGAATATACACATAAAAAAGAAAATGACAGTGGTATTAATATTTATTCAATACCATAGGCACAACCAATACCCTGATATTTACTTAAACATCCATATTTTAGACCACATACAAACATACAAATCTTTGTAGAAAATATATCTTTTTAAGGAAATATGAAAACATTTGGGTATGCATTTAACTAGACAAATACATTACACGACAGCAGTAAATAAACATTGGTAATGTCAGAAAAGGGAAAAAGTAGACAGGTGGTTGCCAAAAAAATAGAGACGCGTGTATGGGATCACATACTTTATTGGTCACAAAGGTTCCAAAAAACACACACAACATATCATCATGTTCAAAATATTAAAGGAAACATTTAGAAAAAGCAGAGCAGTTTTGCTCAGACCGCAGAGACCAAAGAGCTATGGTTTCTGATACAACCCTATCGTGAAACTTGCCTAACAGAGACTTTGATAAAATGTTGAGATCTATAAAGGGATAGAAGAGAGAGAGGTAAGCACAGGATCACAAATTTAATCATTTTCCTTTGGTGACTATTCATAGTCGTAAGTTAAGTTAAATAAAACACCAAAATTAAAACTACAAAACTCAGTCTACTAGTCAATACACTTATTATAGCCTAGCCACCACACAAACTATAATAACAAACATAAAGATGAAGATTTAGAAACACATGCACGAATTCCTATTAAACAGCACAGGAAAAGAATGAACTTTCTTTAGTGACGCAATGCAATGGCATCTTGGCCCAAAAGAATTGTTCAATTATATATATAGCACTGTCCATACAACATTTCCTGAAATGTTTAATAGGCTTACTTCCAGAAGAATTGTTCAATTATATATACGCAATGCTATGGCTTACTTTTTTATGTCCAACTTTAGTTAAGGGTGATCCAATTACCTTTGGATCATGCCTGTCAACATCATAAGCTCCTAATATGAAAAGATAATTCACATCATTTGGCCACTTCATGTGTAAGCATCAACATTTTAAGAAAATGAAGGGGCCATGCTATTTTCACTCAGATCCTTATGAATTATATATCATTAAGACAAACCCCAAGTTAACTCAAGGAAAAAGTTTCCAATTGCATCTTAAAGAACCTGACTCTTGATTTTCCAGCTTCCAATGAAAACTCATGCGGGCACAGTTTTAAACTATTGGAGAGGCTAATCAATATGTCCATCTACCAAGAAGAATACCAGTTGATTAATGCAATTAGTATTATGAATTTAAAAAGAGGAATTACATCATAACCAACAACGCAGAAGTTTGAATTCAGCAAATGAGTTGCCATGCCAAATCCCATTGCTCCAAGTCCAATAAAACCAACCCGCCTCCCACTCTTTGAACTAGCAGTAAATTGAGCTGCCAGTTGTTCAGGACTATATACATCTGCATTTGCTGCACCCGTAATATTCACTCCATAAACTTTTCCCCAAATCTATCAAGAAAAATAAGGAAAAAACAAGACATTAAGAAAGTAGTATCGCAGTGTTTCTAAGAAGACTGCAAATAGAAGAAAAGAAAAATTTCTCTCAATTCATTAAAATCACTGAAACAGAATTTCTGGAATTTAACCTCCATTAGTGCTGCAAGTTCATCATCTCCGCTTATGTGAGAAAGCCCTGACAAAAGAAATTTGCTAGGTTGTGAGTAGCAATCAGGTAGCTTTCAGAAACTAGACAATTACAGAGAGAACAATTGTTGCTTAATCTATTGAATTTCCATACCAAGGATAAGTTGTTGATGCGAAGCAGCCAAAAGTGGAAGTGGGAAAGTAAGTGACTTGGCCATATCTAAAATGATTTCCTTGAAGACAGAAAATTCAACTGCTATCAAGGATTGTTTTAAAAGAACAACTAGAACAATATTCACGAACAGTGCCAACAACCAGATAGAATGTCAAATTTAAAATCAAGTTATGGCATAATATTAGCACCCTTTTTCAACCCAAAAAAAAATCTCAAATTCTAGTTAAACAATTAATGCTGAATCATATATCATTTTTAATTAAAAAAACTAACAAATCTTCAAGTTGAGGATCAGCTATTTAACTTCTGATCTCAAGACATTAACTTAAAAAAAGAGCTTGTATTATGTTAATGCAATCTTAAATTGCTCTATGCTTAAAAGGACTATTCATATATGTAAACCCGAGAGGAAAAAAGATGTAATGATTTATTTCCGCAAACCTTTCAGCTTAAAATATAATGATGATTAAATTTCAAATATTATCTTGTTCACATTTTTAAACCTTTATCATCCACAAACTCAAGGAAAACAGAATTTTAATCAGCAAAAATCATTTCAAAGGATAGTTTCTCTTTAAAGTTTTCATCCTCATAAGCTAACCATTATGGGCCCCATGCCCTGCACTGAATCTAAGGCGTGCATCACCGTCCATAGTTTACATAGTCCAGCTTCGTGTAGATTTTACATCATATATGGATATTGATATAACATAGAGGAGGGGAAGGTGGAGAGAGAAGAAGGAGGGAGAGATTAGAGAGAAATTAAGGGAGAGACTGAAAAATAATCAAACTTTACTCAATTGATCAAAATAACTAAATCCTACGTGGGATAAGAAGATATATATACCTTATTCTCAAATAAAGGAAATCTATCCTTTAAAAGATAATCTAAATTATAAATTAAGATTAAAATAATAATTTTAATAGAACAAAAATAAAATAATTTAATTATCCATAATCCCTTATTCCATCAGATATATTGATTGACAACAGCTGGAAAAGCACAACTAAAGTTGCAACAAAAGTTTTATGTAAAATCATTCTGTTATCAACAATATCATACCTGACAACAGTGATGTATTAACATGACAAATAGATAGCCCAGAAAATGGGCCATATATAATTTAATTGCTTCTCGTGTCTATAGATCTTACCACTTCTTTAACAAAAGCACCCAGAATATGATGTTTGATCTCGCCCTTTAACAATTGGGGAACATTGTTCTTGAATACCCTACAGGATAAATTAAATTATCCCCTCACCCAAAATGAGGGGGAGCAATTCAATGAGCAAAAATGTACAAGGAACGCAAATGTCACATTTTGATCTAATTATTCAGTATTGCATGAGCAAAAATTTTAGTGTTCACAGATCACAAGAGATTAACATGAATCATAAGTTCAACCTTTTTTTGGAGAAGAAGAAATTGAGTCAGATTCCATAATGAACACAGAGAAGGGGCGAAAAATGCTTAACTAGGAACTCATATATTCCCTGACGTAACTTATATATTGACCATTTGACTTCACAGATCATAAAAATCTTGTAAAGTTTATTAGAAATTTGAATAATTTATAAGAAGTATATAAGTTACGTCAGGGAATAGATAAGTTATAGTTAAGGATTTTTATGATGTGTGAAGTCAAGTGCCCAACGACCAAGTAGCCTTCAACGAGATAAGCATCCTAGAGTGTAGATCATAAGTACTAAGCAAGGGTCCTCTTGGCTAAATTTTATTAACAAACACGTACCATGAGTTTCCAGCAGCATTGGAAATGATATCATATATTATCCATGGATGAATTCCAGCTTTGACACCAAGACAGAGAGCCTCCACTGAAGCATTTAAATGAATGCCCTCAAGCAGCTCAACAACTAATTTAACTTTACTGCAATGGAAAGGAACAGTAAAATTTCATTGTGAAACCCAAACAAAATGCAACATTCAATAACATATTTTTTTTCCAATTCTGATAGGTTGTATAAACCTGTAAACGTAACTTTAAATTATTTTATAAATTAATTATCTAGTGTAAAGTTTAACAGTGCTTGGAAAAAACTTCAAGGATCTGTTAAAAAGTAAATTTTTTTTTAGAAAGGGGGGGCACTAATGGTAAATGTATGTTTTAGCAAGAGCACGAAGGAAATAAACCTGCCACCACCAACTTCACCCACAAAAGTGAAAAGCTTTTCACACATTGCTGTCAGAAGAAATAAACCAGTAAATTAAAAATAAAATTCTAGAATTAAAGCTCGAATGTTTAACACACGAACACAAACATACACAAAGTTCTATAATATATATATATATATATATATAAAGAATATCTCATGATGAGTACCTGAAAGAATAGGCTGTGCTCTTTTGATGGAATCTGATTTTCCGGATGAGGTAATCTGCATAGTCTTAAGTAGTCAACAAAAGATAGACTAGCCCACCAGAAATAAGCAAGGTAAAATTAAGTGATAGTAACAAATGAACATACAATGACTTTTCCATCTGAAGCCTCAGACCTCCCACGAGAGATATATGCATCAACAATATAAGTTACCCCTTGAATTTCTGCAGGAACAACAAACCATTAACACTATTCAATTCATTAGTATGAAAACATTGCATGATAAGTTGACAACTTTTAAAAATGTCAAGAAGCACCATCCCACAATTTACTAAGAATCCAGCATTTTGAAGGCAAAAGCATGTATCTTTACCTGCAAGATCCTTCTCTAGTTGATGAACAAGCGATGGGGATATGGTTGAATGAAGAATAACAATTGCGTCCTTGTCTAAACCTGCAAGTGCAGAAAATAAAAATTCCATATCTAAACCAAGATGCTAGGAAATATATAAAAATATAAGGCCAAACAGCTCAAAAAGAGACCTTTCAAAGCACCCTCATTTCCAAAAAATAGATCACTAGCTTGATCCACATGAGATATTAGGACAACTAAAGCAGCCACATCTGAAAGTGAGGAAGAGAAACAGATGAATTAGCGAAGATCGTAAGACAACCGTGGAATCTATTTAAATTTACAGTTTAATCTTGTAACACAGAAAACAGATACAAAATACATATATTTTGCTAGAAAGTAATAGCAACATAGATAATTAATCAAAAAGAATATCTATTGCCAAGATATTAACTGGCTGAAAACTCAAGTAAAAGGATGAAATGCTCAACTACAACTAATTGGAAATATGGTGAAGCACACCCCATACATCTGAAATGCTCAATTTGAGCAAATGTTATATGCTGACAACTTGGAGATTTGACATCAGTTGCAAACCCACCCAGTTAAATTTCTACACTTTTAATGCATGAGAAAAATAAATAATGAAATACTAAACCTCCATTAGCTTTGTGGTGCAACAAAACTTGACGACCAAGTTGTTTAAAAGGATCTTAGTATGATTCCTTAACTGGTCCATGCCTTTAGATTTCAGCTTTTGTTGCTGCACATGACATGCATAAAGCACACTCATTTTTATGCCTTGGAAAAATTACGCAAGATTTAGTACAAGAGATGTTTTATCAAAGAAAGTGTCCACTAAAAACAACCACCCACAAAGACGCCTAGGAAAAATAAGTAAAACCAAAATGATGGCCCCTGATGCGGCGTTAATCAGAACGCCAAAACTTCAAGTGTATTGCCAGTAATTTCGGTGAGAATAGGTTGTGATGTCGTCACTCACAGCGCCTACTATCAATGAGCCAAAAATGATACCGTAGGAAATGAAAATCTCATAAATAAGCGGTTTGCTTCACCCAGAAGAAGTTTGTATTTTAAGAACATACAGAGTTGACTTGATAAGAAGGACAGTGGCTAGATCAATAACAAACAAGTATATCATACATTAGAAAAATTCAAAGGAAAGATTCACAGTATTAAACAATCTTATCCAGAATCTATTACAAGAAATCGTATTTCAAATGTATGGTGAATGAAATTTAAATTTGTTGCTGCAACCAACAATAGCAAATGCTACCATACAATGTAACCACCATACGTCTGAAATGTTATTTACCTCTCGCTGCATCCTTTGGGCTTGAACATCTAATTCCCCCGAACTTCAAAAGTTCACTAATCTTGGAATCGCTTGTCTATCAAAAAAATTAGTTTAACAAAGTATTTGTAAACACAGATTAGCTAATAGTTCTAAGAATAGAGGTAGCAGACACAAATTGAAAAACGTTATCATATATATAAATACAAGTCACCATTTCTTTACTGATTTCTCATAAATCTGTTTTCTTACCCTGTTTATTGATCCCAGTGCAATGCACAAGGTCCTTTCCAGTTACAAAGATAAAGAATTCATGATCGTGTTGTGATCAAGTTAGCTGGTCATTGTCTCAAGCCTAAACAATTTTTTTTTTTGTCGCAAAACAATACATGTGTGATTTTGTATGATCACATTCTAATATCTTCTCATCGTTAAGGTACTAATACTTTATTTGTACCCTTGAGAACTACAAGCTTAACAGCACTCTGCCAAGAGACCATATGTTGTGGGTCACTAGAAATTGTCCACACAAGCTACTGATCATGGCATATTTAAAGACCATTTGAAATTATTTCAAATGTGATATTAGCAACAAGAGATAATTGCTTCTGATATAATTAATTATCATAGTTTGAATTTATAAGCTTAAAAATATGTTCTAAAACATAACATGTTGCACGAGTGTTCACAGTTTTAATAAGAACCGTAAACATTAATTAATAAACAAGAAGGAATTTGCACAATAAATCCACAATTTTGTGATATCAAATACTAGTACTTTCTTATTATGGTAAAAATCAAGTCCTAGTAATATCCCAAAAAAAAAAAGTCCTCTTACTTATTAGATTGCTTATATTAAGTATGCTTAAGAATAATATATTCCACCAAAATATTTTCATAGTTTAAGTTATTTGGTTAAATACTTTCTAAACTCATATATTTATAATTACAATCCATCCTTCAATTTTTAGATGTGGGACTTTTTTATTTTCTAATATTCTCTTCACTACTTTTTCCCTCCTTTTTTTTTCTTCTTCTTCTTCTTTTTGCTTGGGATTGTACTTTTTTTAATTTCAGAGATCTCAAATCTATTCAATTTCTTCTCTCTCTCTCTTTTTTTAATCTCTTTTTTTTATCTTTCATTCTTTAATCTCTCTCTCTCTCTCTTTCACTCTTTGTGTCTCTGTCTGTGTCTCTTTTGGGGCCCCCAATCGAATGACTCATATTACAATGTTAGATTTCTCGTATTAAATATGCCTAAAGATATTACACTCTATTAAAATAGTTTAAGTTATTTGATTATATACTTCTCAAGCTCATACATTTATAATCTATCTTTTAATCTTTATATATGAAACTTCTTTTATATTCTAATAATACTCTAGTTTCAGATATTGGATTTCCGGCTAGTTAATTTTTACATGCATTTCTGGCCAGGAAAAAATAATTACATGCATCATCTGTGACTGTGACCCTTTCTGAGTTATATACTTGAACATAAGTCAGGATGTTGTCATCCGGAGATTACTACCCCGGCCGTTACCTTGATGCATTACGTATATATTATGATATGTCTACGTGTGCGTACGTATTCCTTCCCATTGCAACTGAAACATGTAATTTATTACTTTTTAATTAATATAAATATGATATAGGTCACAGGTGCCTGTCTTGTAGCTGGTAGGCAGTTTTCTATTTGAGTTTTAAAAAAAATTAAGCCATTTTCATTTTAGTACGGACAGATCGGTGGCTATAATTTAGTTTAATCAATATCATAGTTTTATACTAAAATCTATCCATTAAAGGTCACGACTGTTATTTGTAGCAATTTTTTTTCCTTGTAATATACATTGCACTTGTCTAGAATGAAATTAACCAAGTTGTATCAATAGAAATCACTAGTTCTCCACTTGGATATTTTGATTTGCCAAACTTCATTTGATTTTCCCCATCCATCTTCTTTCTTTTATAATCACTATATTAAAATGGTTCCGATTTAATGTTTATAAAATATTTTTTAAATTTTTTTACATCTTTAAATAATTCAAATCAAATTTTAACAGTTTAAATTTAATTTTTAATTTTTTATGATTCAACATTTCAATAATAATTTTATAAAAATTAAATATAAATAGCACAACTACTAATATAATGGTCAAAAAGGGAATAAGATGGCAAGGGAAAAGGGGGCAAAAATAATAAGGGTTTTGTCCCAGCCAAATCATACCAAATCAAAGCATTTTAGGTGATGTGGAGACAACGTACTTTTCCTTTAGCTTAGCTACTCCGCATAATTTGACCATTTCAAAACATAACTCATTGAAACCCTCATCCCAAATAATTAAGAAAAAAATTCCTTGGCCAAAAAAAAAAAAAAGATCCGTGATACAAAATACTATTTAATAAACGCAAAGATGTCAGACCAAAATAAATAAAAACTCAGATAAGAACAAAGCTGACGTGGCCGTACTCACCGCTGGCTCCCGGATCACACGGTGACGTTCGTTTGCTGACCATGAAAAATAATCAACTGAACGGATGAATTTTAGGCAAACATATTGTTTTTTGGTCAAAATTTCAGGCAAACATATGCTTGTGACTTGTGTACATATATAAATAAATTAAAATGATGAATTGATCATTTTATTAATAATGTACCTCTTTCATTTCACAATTTATGAAATTAGTCCTTGGAATAACTGGATGTCATGCTGGGTCACTAATTACGCAGAGCTCGAGACTTCCAGATTGAAAGTTATATTGTTTATGGATGATAATCAGCAGTGCGACTATATTCAACCAGAGAGAAAAGAAGAAGAAAGAATCCGGAAAAAAGAAACTGTGCCGCAAATCTTTTTGCTTTTGCTTTCTCATTTTCATCCAGAAATAAAAAGTAAAATATTCTGATTCAGAGAGAAAGATACCTCGAAAGCTTGAACACTGTAGCCATGACGGACCAGCGACGATGCCACCTCCAAGCTTAATTCGTCTAATCCGACGAAGCCGATGAGTTTCTGAGACGCCATAGCGAGGACCTCGAAGCTGCGATTTGGAAAATGGCAATCGAATCTGAGACTGAGAGACTGCCGAAGGCTAATTTAAGGCTGAACGAGGGTGCTAACTGAATATATAGACAAAAATGAAAATTTCCTCAATCAAATTAATTATTAATTAATTAAATGCAAAATGAAGAAGGTGGCGAAGAATACGGGTTTTTTTTTTTTTTTTTTTTGAGGTCCGGCCTGAGAAGATTTTGCGATTGGGTTAACGAAAGGAAGGAGCGGCGAAGTAACCGTTGCTCTCGGCTTATTAATTACGGCGGGCCTGACTCGTTTCTGTGTCATCCATAATAATCCTTGTTTTTTTAGAGCAGATAATTTGAGCGAACTCAAATCTCTTAAAAAAATTAAAATGAATTGAAATTTGACTATATAAATTAAAAAAAATATTTTAAGTTTAATTTAAATAACTCACTCTGAATTGAGCTCAATTCAAATAAGTTAGATTGTTGAAATTTTTAACTTTATATATAGCTCAATTCAAATAAGTTAGATTGTTGAAATTTTTAACTTTAATATATATATAGTTAGTTGATCATTTTGATTAAATCCGACAGACCAGTCGAAACTCAGTCAAAAAAATTAGGGTAGAGTTTGATTATTAAATTTTTTAAAATGATGGAATGTTTTAAATTCAATTTAAATAAATTAATTTAAATTGAGTTCGATTTAAATATATCTGGCTCGTCTGAATTACCCACTCTAAGGTTTTTGGTTTTCGAACGGCATCATCCATAATAATCCGAGTCGTCAATTTTTTGCTTTTATGGCTCAATGATGATCATAATGCTCATTTTTAATGTTCTTGGCCCTCTGCCTCTTAGCCAGCTAGCCCAAAAAATATCTTGGCCGACAAAATTTAGCCAATTTTACTCTTATTCAAAAATAATAATTATATTTTTAAATTTATTAAAAAAATATGCAAGTTTGTAATTTTATCTTTCTTTACTATTAATAACTATAATAAATTATTGTTTAGAAATTTTAATTAGAATATACAAATAAGAAGTAAAATAAAAATTAATTACTTTAACTTGATCTTATATTAAAAAAAATCAGAGTTTGCTATATAGTACAGGGTGAGTATTTTTAATTAGATTATTATTGATATATGCATAATAGGGCATATATTTATATACCGACAAAAAAAAACTCAAATATTAAACATCAATTTTATTTTAGACGGTGATCTAGTCAATTTTTCTGTTTTTTGATTTTTTTTTTTTTAAAACAACTGGACAGATTAATGAGACATATTGTAGACAACCTGTGGTCAAATATAACCCTAAATCATAAATTAACATCTATATCTATATAAATTTGAGATGTTTGATAAACAGTGAATGAGCAGAAAATTTTTAAAAATGCCCCCAATTTTTTCCTTTTTTTAAACCTCTGCCATTGCAACACCGTCAGGTCCGACTTTTCATTTTTTTTTTTAGTTTGGTACCATCGAATGGTACTGTACATGCACAGTGCCATCCGACTTTTATTTTATTTTATTTTTTTTTTGGTTCATACGTTTTCTCTTTTTATTTTTAAATTTAGTACCATCAGATGGTGCTGGACATGCACAGTCCGTCCGACTTTTCATTTTTATTTTATTTTTCATGAATCCAGCGTTTTCTTTCTTTCTTTTTTTTTCCACATGGATGCGGTACGTACAAAACTTAAGGTACTTAAAAATGAAAAAATTTTTATCAATTTTATTTTAATTAATAATACCTCTCTCTTATTTTTTGAAACCTATAAAATATTTTTTTATATGAATAATTATAAAATACAAGCTTTCTTTTTATTTTTAAGATTTTATTTTTATTCACCTAACCATTAGTTAATCATTAAGTCATATTTGTTAGACTAAAATACTCCTATTTAAATATAAACAGTACATACAAAATTTATACTTAAAAATAAAAAAAATTTTATCTATTTTTGTCTTAATTAATAATACCTTTTTCTATTTTTTGAAACGTATATGAATATTTTTTAGTATGAATAGTTATAAAATATAAGCCCTCCTATTATTTTTAAGATCTTATTTTTATCCATCTAACCATTAGTCGACCATTAAATTATATATGTTGGATTAAAATACTCCTATTGTTAAGTATAAATGTTGTCCAACAATCATTTAAATCTCCAAAAAAAATTTTTTTATTATTTAACTGTATTTATTTTGTAACTTTTTAGAAAATTAAATATATAAATTGGTCAAAAAATATATTTAAAGACGCAATGTATGGACTTAATAAAAAGAAAAATAAGTAAAATTAATTTTAATAATTTGGGATAGTTAAATCAATTTAAATAAATCTGAAAGTTAAAGGTGTTAAGAGTCATGATCAATTATAAATTTTTTATATATTCAAATATTTTAAATTTAATATGAATTGAAGATCTGAGATTAATAAAGGAAATGTAATATTTTAATAAACTTAAATTTAAAAAAATTGAAGAAGTGTAGTTTAAAAAAGTAATGTGTAAGACTTACCATTAAAAATATGAGTGGAGTTTATATTTATAAATCTAAAAAATTAAATAAGGTAAAAAAAATAATAAGATTTTTATATTTTGAGAGATCATGTGAGATTTTGTACTAAAAATCAATGGTGAATATAAAATTTTTTAGTAAAATAATAGGTGTTAGATATACAAAAAAATTTATATACTCCTTTCATTTAAAAATGTAAGACATTTTTGATAGATTAAATATTAAAAAATATAAAAATATTTTAAATTTTTTAAGATATAATCATTATCTTTTTTAAAAAAGTATCCATATTAAATAAATCACTTTATATTTATTTTAAGGTGAAATACTCTATTAAATAGAAAAAATATAAAAAAATAAAATTTCTTTGATGAATATGAGATTCAGTTGGAAATACTTTATATTTTTAAGTGAAGGAAGTATTTATATCTACATAAAAATAATTTTTTAATATCTATTTTTATTTTTATTTTTATTTTTATTTTTAGAAACTAAACTATTCAAGTGCATCGTTCACGGGCATAAATCTAGTTATTATATAAAATAAAACTAGACAACAAATTCCATGAGTAGCAAAGAATATAGAGTATTCGTAATAACAAAATAGATTTTTTTGTGAAATTTGTGCATATTAAATATTGATGTTAATTTATATGAGAATGAACCACAATGGGTTGAATTCATCAAATTCAAGCTTCCTAACAGTAAGCGCGAAGAACTTCCAGCAATCAATATTGATGTTTATTTCGTTTTTTACCCCTGCATTGACTGATAGATTTTATAATTTGGAATGTAATAAAATACTAAGATGTCTTTGACAGCTTGACATGTTGGAAAGAAGTTTATTTTTTACATGTTTAAATAATAGTAAGGTCGAAGAGTAGTTAGAATGATGACTTATAACGTTGAGTGTGAGATTCAAATCTGAAAATAAAAACAAAATGAAAAAACTAAAATATTCATGAAATACTTGTTTTTCATATTCTTTTTACATGATCAAAGTAAACCCAAAAATTCAATAATTAGAAGTGGGGTTGAACATGACTGAATTTTTATATATGTCTTGTCCCATCTTATTTAAAATCAAAATATTTTGATAAGTAGATAAAACGTGAAAAAGAGATTTAAATAATAACACTTGTTAAATTATATAACTTGCTAAGTCCACATTAAGGCAATACAGGAAAAAAAAAAACAGAGCAATACAAATAAATCAATTCAATTATTAAGTTACAATTTCAACTAAAAGAATCCAATCATAAGTTTAAAGCCAATCACAAATAACCTTTAAGCTATATATATAATGACACGAATTATTAAGTTACACACACTTAAACAAATTAATCAAACAAAAAATCAAGTCATCATCGCTGCTTTATCTAAAGGCATGTTAGTAAAAATATACATGCATTTCATCAACAAAAAATATATATATATTAAATAAATAAATTATTACATATTAATAAAAAAAATATATGTATATTACATCAAAATAGAAGGCAGTCACAAAAGACATCCATCACCCCCGAAACAATTTTTGTCTTGTCCAAAGTTTTGTCCTTGTTTTTTTCCTTTTTAGAATAGGTTCATATTGACATGTTTGGAACAGAGACGAATCGTCTGAGGACATGAATGCCCAACAAAAATTCGATGCATAATAGGCAATTCATGGCATCCAGAACAATCAACTAGATGCACCAAAAACCGAAATTTGAATTTTAACTCGAAAACAATAAATAAATCAAAACCTATTAATATAATCCTATTAATCTAGACACATTCGGTGGAGAAGTCTCTTGCTCTTCCTCTTTAGACCTCTATCGACAACTTTTATCCCAAAAACATCCATCATCATAGGCACAAGGAAGCTATTGGTAGTGGGTAAAAAAATAAGGTTGTTTGAATCGTGTTAAAAATACTGTCCTTGAAAACTATTTTAATATATTAGTATGGCAAATTGATAATTCTCCAAAATTGAATGAGCACATCTTGCAAACACAAGGCAACAGAACAACAAATACTAATAACATAACTCAAATGAACCAGCATAGAACAAAAGTCGGAGGAAGAAGAAGAGGTTCGAAAATTCAAGAGCTAGGCACCTCGTTCTATCCACATGCATGCTTATATATAGGCCAAGATTTTGGACATAAATGTCAGGCATTCAACCACTAAAATAGAGCACCATTAAATCTCGATTATACACACATAACTCTTGGAGTCATTGGGAACAAACATATAATGAAATTGATTAATATAAATCTGTTTAAGAATTTTTGCAAAAATGATTTGATAAAAAACTTAATGCTTCTTGAACTCACACACATGGAATAAATTAATTATTTTCATACGCACAAACCCACTTTTCTTCTAAATTTATTTTATTAACTCATTTTATTTTTAATATTTATGATGCATTAGAAGCTCTTTTCATTTAAGTGATGTGGGGTTTTTTTTCTTTTACACACACAATTACTACAATAGAGCTTCTTGAACTCTTACCCCAAAACTCGTCATCATTGACAAGGGATTTCAAGAACAACAGAGTGAGAGTGATGACAGCTATGAACCCCGTGAACAATGCGCTCATGTTCGTCTTTTCCCAGCCCACGATGGTTTGCTGGAAGAGTCATT